GACGCCATGTCAATGCGGATGCCCTGTCCCGGTTGCCTTCTAGTGCCATCTGTGCTGGAGCTGATGTCACCATACACCCCAGCGACTTACCTTGCGGCGGATGCCCGAAGTGTGTTAAGGCTCACCAGACCTGGAATGTCTTTGCAGAAGAAGTTGACAATGTGGCGCCCCTGGCCAGTCCTGGAAGCTGGATCTATACGCCTAGCTCGGAGGTAGAAACTGTGGAGGAGACAGTTTTAGAGTCTGAGAGCAATACTGAGGAAGCAGGTGACTTGCCCTCTCCCCCTGGGACAGCCCAACCTTCAGTTAGTGAAGTGGCCTATGGTTATGTTTCTGGGGGATTGTTAGGTCGCATTGGTCATTACTCTCCCCCGGAAGTTGACTTTGAAGATGAGGAGTCAGTAGAGGGGCCCTTCCGGACCCAGATTCGCCTCACTAAGCACCCCCACTTTGTGGCAGTAGTGGGGCCACCCCCTGATGATTCTGGTAGCCCATTGTCATTTGTGGGTTTGACCCCAGAGGAAATGAGTTTATGCCAGTCAAGGGACTCGGAAATCTGTCAATTTCTTGACTGGTTGGACGATGATGTAGCGCCAGAGGAAGGTGTGATGTTCCTTGCGAGTCCCGCAGTTAAAAACTATTGGCTCCATAGGGCGGCCTTCACCTTAGACCAGGACAAGGTCCTTTGGAAAGAGGTGGGGGAGGGGAGTGTGAAGACTAGACTTTTAGTTGTCCCTGAGGAGTTGAGGAAGGAGGTTCTACGCCTGTGCCATGACGTCCCAGCAGCAGGCCACCAGGGCATTGATAGAACCAAGGCACGCCTGCATGATAGATTCTTCTGGTATGGCATGATGAGGGAGGCAGAACAGTTCGTGAGCACCTGTGGTCCTTGCAGCAGGAATAAGCATCCTCAGCGCCATTCCCGGGCAGAGATGATTAAGTACCATGCTGGCGCCCCTATGGAGAGAGTCCATCTTGATTTTCTGGGGCCCCTACCCCGGACTAAACAGGGTAATGAATATGTACTTGTCATGGTCGATCAGTTCACTAAGTGGGTGGAGTGTGTCCCTCTGCCCACTCAGACTGCTGAGGCAACAGCTACTGCTGCGGTCGATCAGTTCTTTGCTCGCTTTGGCTGTCCTTTCCAGATCTTCACCGACCAGGGTAGGAACTTTGAAAGTAAGCTCTTCACAGCAGTGTGCGACTTGTTGCAGATCCATAAGGCCCGCACCACTCCTTATCGCCCCTCAGCCAATGGCCAGGTAGAAAGGTATAATAGAACCCTGATGGATGCTGTGCGTTGTTATATAGACAAGGCTCAGAACTGCTGGGATGAACATCTCGCCCAGATAGCAGGTGCCTTGCGCTCTGCAGTCAACCGGAACACAGGCTTTACTGCGAACAAGCTGATGTTGGGCAGGGAAGTGAATATCCCTGCTGATCTGATGTATGCCCCACCTCAGAGGGACCCAGCTGTTGACCTTGAGGGCTACGTAGTGAATTTGGAGAAGGCCATCCAGTCAGCTCATGAGACAGCCCGGAGACGTCTCCGGACCTCAGAGGAGCGAATGAAGAGGGACTATGACTTGAAGGTCTGTGCCAGAACTTACCATGAGGGTGACCTAGTTTATGTCCTTGACACAGCTACTGTCAAGGGGAAATGCAGGAAGTTGAGCCCTTCCTGGAAGGGACCAGGTATTATCTTGAAAAAGTTGAGCTCCCACCTTTACCGAGTGAAGACCAAGCTCTCGGTGATGGTTGTCAACCATGATCGCCTGAAAAAGTGTGTAGATCGCGACATACCATTATGGCTGTCCCGGTATCAGGAGAAGTTCAGAGCCCAGTCCCAGGAAGGTGGTGAGTTAAGTAGTGTCCCATTGTCCCCAGGGGAGAAAACTCCCTCGAGTGAGGTCCCTGGACCTTCCCAGTTGAGCTCGTCCTCAGACAGCCCTCCCCGTATACCGAGAAAACGGGGGCGCCCACGTAAAGTGCGGTCGCCCTCTACCGAGTCTGCTAAGTCGTCAGATGGGGATCTGACAGATTCTGAGCTCTATTGTTTCTGTCGTAGACCGGACGATGGGGGGCTAATGATTCAATGCGACCAGTGTGACGGTTGGTTCCATGGGGTTTGTGTGGGGGTCACTTCAGAGGAGGCTTCCTCCCTGGATCAGTATATCTGCCCAGATTGTATGGGGGAACCCCGGGTAGCAAACATTGGTGTTGTTTTGGAGCCCCCATCTTGGCCCAGGGTAAGACGGGTTACCCTGGCGGTTTTACAGGAATTGTGAGTTGGTCAGCTGGTTGTGACCCGCTCTAGCGTACCCTGCCAGTCCAGACTCTTTACCTGGGAACTATCCCGGACCTAGGGCCTGGAAGTGTTTAATTGGGAGCGATCCCAGACCCCTTTTTCCCAGGAGTTATCTTGGGTGTGTTTTGTCTGGGGCTTGCCCCGGCACTAGTCGTCCCTGGGCAGTCTGCCCGGGTGGGCGTTAACAGCGCCCCATCGTTGGAGATGGTTCCGGACCCTCCCTCGCACTGTGGACTCCCGCCTTTCAAAGAAAACGGGGGGGAGTGTAGTATCTGTGCGACTGTCCCGTGGTACGACTTACTGACGAGGCTACGTCAGATGGCGGGACAGTCGCACGGATCTCTTTCACCGCCAAGATGTCAAGCACACCAGACGTGGTACAGAGACGGTGAGTCAGCACGGGCCAGAACCCACTACAGAGTATATTGTATATTTGTATATAGTTGCTAATAAATATTGTTATAAGTACTACACCCCCCGGTAGTTACTTCAGCTTCCTTGAGCAGTGTAGATTCTAAAATGTTCAGCTCATGGCCCCTGGGGCTAGGGTGGGGCCACAATAGGGTCGGTGAACCGGCGTCAGTTATCTTATCTTGCACCGTAAGGGGTCGCCACAGGCAAATGCGGTCCAACACAAAAACTGATAAGCATGGCAGCAATGGCTTATCGGCGATTCTACTACGATTATTGCCGAGATCAAAGAAATGCCGCGGACATTATTCTCCAATAAATCACGAACGTCATCAAAAAATTATCAGATCAGAAACACATGTCAAATCTGTTCAGTTGAAATAAATATTTTACTGTATAATCTAATACTTATTTAGACCACATCGATGTGTCGTCTTCCGCAGTCTAAACGTGTGTATTGCCTGAAACAGCTGATAAATATCCGTTTTTATAGCCAAGTGGGGCTGTTCTACGGACCTCCCCACAACATTTACACTCCCGTGATTTTACTGATAAATCAATGAAATAGACAACTGGTTTTATTATTTTTCATTCATAAAAATTAATCAACATATGTTACAAGCAAATTTATAAATAATTAAAGGATATTTTTAATCCAACAAAAGCTGAAATCGTCTGCATTTTATGCAATCGATTGACCCTTTGGTGTTAAATGGAACAGCGAAATTGCGACATGGTGACCTAATTCGTTTCTCTATAGAGAAAACGATCAACTGTATTTTAGAGCCGTTAGTAGAATAGAAATAAAGTCCTTGTTGTCGTGAATGATGCAGGATAACCTCCTCGGTCTCGAAATGTTGTCTGAAATATAAAAGCCTCGGCTAACGCCTCGGCTTTTATATTTCAGACAACATTTCTCGACCTCGGAGGTTATCCTGCAACATTCACGATAACGCGGACTTTATTTCTTAATTATTCTACAGATCACTTTCGAAGAAAATAGACGTATCAAAAACATATTTTACCCACTATGGCATCAAATTTTGGTGCTATGACAATACCTGAGCTAAAAAGAGAGTTGGAAAAACTCGGTGCGAAAAAAAGCGGCAGAAAATGGGAGCTCGTTGAGAGGTAAATATATGTCAATGTAAACAGCTGATCGATCTTTTTATACTCTTTTGTTACCTTATGGAAACATTTAAATGAAATAAAATATCAGTGATCTGTGTTTATATAGCCTTAAAAACGCCAGTTAATTGAAAAAGTCTTTTGGAAAGATATAAAATGATCGTTTTTATTGCTTATATATTTTTCCCGAATTTCCTCAATCATTGTCATCTGAGTGGTCTTTGTTTTCCTGTGAGTGTACGCCTCATATAATTCACAAAATCATGAAAAGATTTAATATATTGTTATCTATTTTAAAAAAAACTTGATCAATTTAACTATGATAATACTTTTTTTACAGACTTGAAGCTTACAAAAGAAATGCCCACTGTGCAAAGACTGACGTTTCTGGACCTGAGTTCCTCATGATGACCCCAGATCCACAGCTTTATAAAGACCTCAATAGTGGCCAGGCATTTCCATGATGTACTGATTCAGATATCTCTGCCTTCTTGTTAAAGTTTAACAAGATAATGGACAAGAAAGCTAGAGACATGTATAATGAAATGAAATAAGAAATGACAAATTTATAAATGACATGAAAGAAAAATTGGATGAGTTTTACAAAACTTACTTCAAATCTGCCTTGCTTGAGAAAATGTTTTACAAAACATACGATGGTGTTTGTAATTGCAATAGGTAAATAAAAGTTTAAATTATAAAACACTCTTTTTATTCAGTGTTTATTAGATCTGATTAATTATGCATATGATGACACAATGCAATTCTTCAAGTTACACAACATGAAACAAATGTATATAATTTCAGATGACAGTTTTGATTCTGAACTGTTCATTGGTTCACTTAAAATTTTGTAAGTCTTTGCAAGTCCAATAATTCTCTCTATATGTACACGTTTACTGGATATTTTTCTATGATAATCTTTTATAACAGTTTCACAGGACATCCTATTTTTCTTTTTAAAAAACGTTGGCGTGTTAATTTGAATGTTCTTGTGTACAAACATATCCTGCACATTAAAACCTTTGTCTGCCATAATTGAATCACCCGAATTGCACATATCTATTAGACAACTTCTTTCAACGATTTGACGATCACTTGTAGATCCGCCTTAGGCTGTAGAGATGTAGGATGTCAAACTGCCTGGTGTTGCTCCAACAAGAACCTTCACAGTGTTACGGTTTTTGTATGTAGAAAAAGTGGCTTGCTGAGATTTAGGAAGTTTTGGTTTCTTAATGGGACATTCAGTACCATCAATAATTACCCTTGTATTTGGAAATTTTATTTTAAAATCTGACGGGCAAAAATATTTAACTAGATGTCTTGAAGGCCACAAATCAATTTCACGCCATTACTTATTCATAAATAGAATCCAGGTAAAAAATATATTTGAGACCGTTTTTTCAGAAATGCCAAAAAGTCTTGACAGTTCAAAATTTGTAGTGTGGCGGCGTAATTTACAAAGCACAAGGAAAAACTGATCAGGAACACTGATGTTTGAAACTTGATGATACACATAGTTCAAATAATAGGCAGCTGGGCCTAGAGTTCTCAAAACAAAGTAAAATTTCCGTAGTGTTTCCAGGCCAGTATAGAAATGAACACCAGCATCATCATTTGTAAAATTGTCTATGCTCATTGGAGGATGTTTAGGTGTTTGGGTCTCCACATTTTGAAAATAAAGGTTGGTTTCAACTTTGGGTATCTCTGAAGCTTCAGTTACAATTGTTGAATCAAAAACTACTTCTTCGGTTGTTTGCAGTTCATCACTTGCATATATAATTTTTACATCCTCTGACTGGGAAGAAAATTCCTCTGCTAATTTTCGCTTGATACCCCTTGACTTTGCTCTATCAGATCTGGCTTGTGAATGGGGACTTGGCTCAACCCAGGAAAAAATACTAGGGACCGCACTTTTCTTAAGTCTTTTACTCAGGGGTGTAGTTCCTTGAAAATAATTTATTTATTTTGAAACAAATTTTTAACATGTTTAAAATTTTATTATCTAGTAAGATACAAAATATAAATCTTAATTTATTCTATATATATATATATATATATATATATATATATATATATATATATATATATATATATATATATATATATATATTCTCAAATTCACAGTGAATTAGCCAGTAATTAGTTACATTATTATTCATACTTATACAAAGTCCGAACATCTGTCAGACTTCATCTGTTCATGCAGAGATTTAAACAGTGTGAGATGAAAATAAAAGGGTAAACAAAAGACGATTTCTTATCATGCTTATTACATATGCATAAATAGATTACCAGAAGTTTTATAGAGCTGCCAGACATGCTTCTTGTTTACTGGATCACAGGTGTAATCGGGAATGTCAGCGGGAGTCAAATATTGGCATGCATGTGTCAGTGTCTGGAACAGGTTCATCGTAAATTAATTTACATGCAATTAAAGTATTTACATGGAAAATGCAACTTTTTCTTAATATTTTTTTTGTTAATAAAGTTTTAAGCTGATTAAAAAATAAATAAATACCGTGTTGAGTTTCAGTTACGTAGTCATCAGCTTTAAAGTGTGCCCTGCATACAACAGCATGTGTCTTAGGTTCCCAACTTTGAAAACGGGTTTCGCCGCGTTTAATTGCATGGATCCAAATTTTTCTTCTTGATTGATCAGAGGGAAACACATGTCCACCTCGATTACTGCATTCTGGTACACAACAGCAAGTTTCAGGCATGTTAAAAAAGAGATTGACAGCGGTTTGTTTACGTTTTCTTCGATAGTTAGATACTGATAATGCGCGAGGGTATTCCGATACGGGACCGAGTTTGCTTGTGGCGCCCTCTAAGGGAAAGATAACAGGAGACGGTACCCCAATGGAACCATTAATTTGCAAACATTTCCAAGTTTTGTGGATTTATTTTTATACCCCCGGATCGAAAGATCCCGGGGGTATATTGTTTTTGTCCTGTCTGTCTGTTAGTCTAGCTTTTTGTCCGTCTGTCTGTCTATTATCAACTTTAACTTAGCCCATAACTATTGCGCTGTCAAGGATAAGTATGGGCGGCGGAAAGGGTAAAAAAGACGTTAATGCAAAACTAAGAACTAATTTTAAAAACATACTGAAATACAAAACAGACCACCTTAAAATAAAATCAACAGACTCGTTTGCAAAATCAACAGACTCCGATGCAAAACCAACGATCAGCGATGCAAAACCAACATTTATTCACTGAATTGACGCTAGATGGCGTGCAAAGAAGCGCGCGAGATGTAACTTGCTATAAACGTCATGATTATGAGGGTACTTTCTTATAATATGGCGACCAACAGAATAGACGAGGAAGTTGATGTTGTGAAAAAGAATTTTATCGCTCGCTTGACCCATATTTTAGCCAGACTACACCCACTTATACACTCTAGTGACCCTAGTGTTCAATTAGAGTATGTTATGTATCAAATGCACAGTTTATGTCGTGATATTCAGCACGTTCATGGATGGCTTCCAGTATCGGATGACTTCGTATCCCTTGTTATCGAAGCCTATCGCTTGTTAAGCGTGGTTCCAAACAACGCTTGGGAAAGACATTACGAAAGACATCCGATTAGCGTTCACAATGGTTGCATCGGACGTCCAAAACTAATCATCACAGAACAGCAACTGCAACATTTATTGGGTAAGATCAGACATATCTATAAAATGGAAGTTTCAGAATGTAAATACAGAGTATGTGCATGCACAAATATCAGACACCTCAGCCCAACGACAGCAGACATTTAGGCCGGCCAGTGACACCTCAGCCCAGACAATCAGACAAGACATCTCGGCCCATACGTCATCGTCACAAACCACAGCCGGAATGGGAGAGGATCGTGCATTTTGGCTGTGGTTTGTGACGATGACATATGGGCCACAGCCAGAATGCATGATCCTCTCCAATTCTGGCTGTGGTTGAATAAGAAAATAATAAGTAAAATATAGTCCGAAGATGAACTTTGACGTGACCTTTCAACACCCAATTTACTGTTTATGTAACATTTATTGTATATTGTTCATTGCAATTGCAATAAGGGCAGTTATTTTCATTGGTTTAATGTGACGTCACATATTAGACAGCTGTTAGAGGCATTAAATTCGAGATTACGATATCAGCATGATAATTCAAGATAACGATACTTTATGTGATCAAGCAGCCACGTATAGGAGAGAGCAATATGCAGACTCCGTACCGCAGCTTGCGAGGATAAACTTTGACTTGACCTTTCAATACCCAATCACAGTCTGCGTAACATTTATTTTATATTGTTAATTGCAATAAAAGCAATTATAATGTGACATCACACATTAGAGGCATGATATTTCAAGATTACAATATCATACTAAATATGTGATCAAGCAACCACATGGTAAGAGGACTTCAGACCGTGGCTTGAGGCGATGCCCATATGTCGGCCAAAGTAAAATGTTGTGGAAATTATATAATTTATATATATATGATATGATTTTTTACCTTATCATCTACACCTATTACACTTTCAAAAACTTTTAACCTTGGCTGTAACTTAACTACCAGGACATATAAACATTTTTTTTTTTGGAATGATGTACAGACAATCCAAGACAGACAAAACAGTCACTGTATGCCATAAATCATTGCAACCCAACCAAGAAGACCCAAACGTAGGGGACTACAATTATCTGTATTTCCTTGATAACAACTTATTCAGTAGTATATAAACGACTTTCACATTTACAAGAGTTATTTCCCTTTTGGGGGTCAATCTGGGGTCAAGCGGCGTAAGGAACTGTTTTCACTCTATTACATTACCAACTTTAAGAAGATATGACTGAGAAATGAAATGCATGACTGTATATGTTGATTATGTTTTCCTTGGTGCCCAATACTATGACAATATATGAATGGTAAAAAAATTGTCCAAAGGCCTTTGAAGGTTTAAAGTATATAGAGATAAGTTACAAAGGATATAGTGAGAAAAATGTTGTTGTGCCGACAAAGGGAGATAACTTTTAATGTGAAATTCGTCTATTATCACACTGTCTAACATACAAGATTACAGCCAGTGCAAATTGCAAAGGAACATCCTGTAAATGGGAGTTATTTAATCCTTTAAATAGGAGAGAGTCTATCAAAGAAGAGATTACATATATTCCAAAGGATTCATTTATCAATGCTCTTTTTATGCATTATAAAAGATTGAATTTATAAATTTGTATTTTTATTTTGCTCATATCCCTTTGTTTAAATATAAAAAGAAAGCCTACATCATAATTTTTAACCACTTTCACATTAACCATGTAATCTTTAAGCTGCCATATTTACTCAGTTGTTTCATAAAATGCTTGTTTTAGATGCCTATTTCACAGTGAAGGATATAGCCTCCCTTCTCTCTGTGAGTGAAAAAACCGTGAAGAACAGACTGAAAGAGTATGGATTATGTGTGAGAATGACATATAGCAATATTGATGACGATGTTTTGGATTCATGGATACAAAGAGGTCTTGGCTTATTCCCAAGGGCAGGTACATTTTACAAACTTAAGTCTAGAAAATATTCTTTGTCAGTGCTAGGATGCAATGTAGTGTGTATACAGTGGTAATTAAGTTCATAGATATCTTTAGTTTTGAATGAAAAAAGAGGCATGGGTATGGAAAGGATCCATAATTTATATAAATGTGTGTGTGTATGTATTGCCCTAATATGCACAGGATCTTGACACAATCTGAGCAAAAAATGGGTACCGGTATATAGTATAATAGGGGATCCCCTATTATACTATATACCCAATTTTGCTCAGATTGTGTCAAAACCCTGTGCTTATATTTTAGGGAATGACTTGAGTAATTTAAAGTATAAAGAAAAGAAATTAAGGCAAGATGTATGTGTACCCATATCTTTTTTTGCTTACCGGTAAAAATAAGGTGATGGGATGTAGGACAGCGATTAATCCAGGTTTGGGGGGGAAATTACTGTTTTTGGAGAAATTAGGAAAATCAGTAGGGGGCCTTGGGGCCCAAAGTCTGCAGGGGGGCAAAGGCCCCTGGCTGAAATTGAATTTGAGCATTTTTATGTCCATTTAGAGTGCTTAAAATTGCAAAGCGAAACCATTTTTGTGTCAGTCAAAATGCACATGTGACAAGGTCTACCACGCATACCATGGCAAAGATGCCACCACACCTTGTACAGGGGTACAACTTAGTCTTATTCTTGTAGTCCTACAGTGTAAGTTTCTTTTACGTTTTCAACTATTTATTTGCACATAAACCACTCACTTCTGTATTTTATAATTCATAATTATCTATATTATTGAAAACTGCGTAATTATTTTGCAATAGTTTGATGAAATTATTTTTTACTTATTGTCTAACATATAGGAACCATCTTTGTGTGACATGATACTTCATAAATTAACTCATTCTAAAATAAATTTGATAGACGTTACTTAGTCATACAAAGAAAAGCAAAAATGATACAAGTACAATTTGCCTAGTAAATGTTGAGGTATCAACAAATTGTGTAATGCATGAACACAATAAAATAATTTTATTTGAGCTTTTTAACAATGTTTAAAAGTGTAAGGGGAATTTTTTTCTTTCAAAAGGGAAAATGAGATATTCAGGGAAAATTTTCTCTTGGGGAAAAATACCAAATATCCGTAGTAAATATGACCTAGATTAATCCCTGTAGGAGTAAACAAATGAAGCAAATCGTTTCCATTTCATGTCACATTTAAAAATTATTGTACACAAACAAGTAACTGTATTGATGTATATTATCTGAATTTTGATTGACTAATTGATAAATAGCTGCAACTTGCTAGTTCTTCATCAGATCAGGCTAATTTATTATTTAATGCTTATAAATGAATTAGTTCAGATTAACATTTTCTTCTTATGCATTTGAATAAAAATTCAATCATTATCAAAGGTAATTAATATCCTCTGTTCTTTACACTTTATAGGATACAAAACATTGCAGGGATTCTTAGCAGCAGAATCTATCCGAGTTCCAAGAGAGAGAATAAGGGCATCAATGCATCGCCTAAATCCTACTCGACAGACTCTCAGAAGTTTGACAACCATAAAAAGAAGGTCATATCAAGTACCATCACCACTTGCCTTGTGGCACATTGATGGAAACCACAAGCTTGTGCGGTAAGTGCAATATGATGAAAATTGCACAGTTTGCAGTATTATTTGTATATTGCAATATATGATAATTCATAATTCACAATTTCCCAGTACAATATTTACTTGAAGTGTACTAAACACATGAAGTAATGTTGATTCATAGAGATTCATCAAAATATACATAGAAAAGTTAAAATCCTTAGTTTTGGTATCACAGATGCTCAGCATGTTCAATGAATTTTCCAACAAAATAGCTATTGAGTGGACTAAATGTATAATAACTCATTTAATTCAAATAGATTTAAATAATTTTTGTAGGAATATAATGAATACAATATATTGCAATATTATTATGTTAAAGAAATAGAATATTGCAGCGTCCACCAGCATTAATCTAAGTGCTGAACAAAAGTTTAGCTTTCCTCTATGGGATGGCTATTCACTGCATTGTTCAACATCTTAAGAGTATGGTCAGTTTTAGCCAAATTTGCAACATTTCAGATACAATGTACAGGGTATGGGAAAAAAAAGAATTTCTGTAAAGCCTAAGTAGACAAAATATAAATACTTTTTACCTCATCTTGATGCATTTGAGATGAGCTTATGCTATACTGTTGGAGTCAGTGCCGATGTTCTAGTTAAAGTTTCATGTTTGATGTTATGTATATGGACACTATAGTGAGGGTGTACGGTAATTAGTAATGAAATTAATGAAAACAAGTATCCTAAAAAAAAGGTTGGGATAGGGAGGCAGCTAAGAAGTGTTTTGGGGGAAATGACAAGTAGCGTAGTCATGCAGAGAGATACAGTTGGAATGATGGGGTCTGAAATTGATGCACCTTGATGTCTTTATCTGTAGTCATACAAAAAATGTATGTAATTCTAATAGGCACTATGCAGTTGAGCTATTGAAGAAATAATGTAATTTGCCATATTATAAAAGGTTTGTTACTTGGGTTTGGTCTGAAAATAAGTTTTACACAGTATTTCATGGTTACTTTTTCCCCCTTTATTTGCAGTTGGAGATTTATTGTCCATGGCGGAGTTGATGGGTACTCCAGAGCAATTGTTTACTTAAAGTGCAGTACCAACAATGAATCCAAGACTGTACTTGACCTGTTTATGAATGCAATACAGGAATGGGGTTTGCCATCCCGCGTTCGTGGTGATATGGGTGTTGAAAACAGAGATGTCGCAACATTTATGCTGAATCACCCACTACGAGGACTTCATCGTGGCAGTTTTATCACAGGTCGAAGTGTCCACAATACTAGGATTGAGAGACTGTGGAGGGATGTATATGAAGGTGTTTTGTGTACATTTTACAATTTATTTAGATCTTTAGAGGATATGGATCTCTTGGACCCAACAAATGAAATCGATTTATTTTGTCTGCATTATACATTTCTGCCAAAAATCAACTTCTTGTTGCAAAATTTTGTTAAGATGTGGAACAATCACAAAATTTCTCTGTAAAGAACAAAAGTCCTTTACAGCTTTTTAGGATTGGAATGCAAAATGTTGCAGTGGTAAATTCATGCAATTTGGGGCATGAATATTTTGAACAATTCGATGATGTAACTGCAATGTCCTATGGTGTGGAAAGTGATGATTTTAATGCAGAACCAGAAGAGCAAGTGATTGTCCCATCAACCATAGACCTGACTGAGCAACTGGTTTTTCATTTAGAAAATGTAACAATAGAGGATGAAGATATATGGGACGAAAAAACTTATGTGGAAATCCGAAATTATCTGAGAAATTTGGCTTAATATTTTTACTCATTTTATTACATTTACCTGTATTTATTTTAATTTTTTAACAAGGAAAGTAAAAATATATACAAAGAAAGTAAATGGAACTGTTAACCTTTTATGATATTTGTTAAATTTGTTGCAAATGCTGATAAAGAAATCTCTATTAAACTGATTTAAAAGGAATTAAAAACCTGAAAATCGAAAGAAAGTAATATTTTATTTTCCCCTGAATAATTTGAGTACTTAGCTATATTTGGGGAAATAGATTCAAGTTGATTTATCATTGTAAATTTCAACAGTAACATAATTCATGAAGATATTTGCTATTCCTGTCTGAAAATACATGTAAATGAAAATTTTTGGCTTTTGTTATAATTTTGTGACTTCATCTAATTTAAACTAGAAATACTGTGAGGGAGATTATAAACTAACCTTTATTGCAGATGACAATCTCAGAAATAGATAGCTTTTTTGTTAGATAAGAGCTGACAAGTGTACATGCATGTGTTTGTTAAATTTCACACTTTATCTAAGTGCCCTTGCAATTGCCCAATTGATATTAGTTCAAAGTCAAGATACCCACAAAGATCATTAGCAAACTGTTTATTAGCATTAAATTTGAGATATCTACATTAGAAAGTTACAGCCCAGAAAGAACTTTACATATTTTATTCCCCGGCCATGAGATGGCCGAGGCATATAGTGTTACCCCTCTCTGTCCATCATAGTTAAGTTAATTTCCAGACTTATTTTGCTGTGCTTATAGAGATTGAGCTGATTTTTGGTATGTCTCTTTATATTGATGACTTACAGATCAAGTTTGAGTTTTGTGATGATTGACCCATTTTCACAAAAGTTATTGCCCGTAAACTTTGAACATTTCTTGCTAGACTGAGAACATTTCTTGCTGATTTTTTAGCTCACCTCGACGAAGTCCCGGTTAAAGTTTTAGGAGCAAGTCCATTCCCAAGTAACTATAAGCCCTACCTGGACCAAACTTGCATGGATGACGCATCTAGGGATGGACACTACCACACTTGCTTCGGATGCTGGATCTGACCTAGATTTTCCAGTTGAGTGACCAGGTTAAAGTTTTTGGAGCAGGTCCATTCCCAACTATAAACCCTACCTTGACAAAACTTGCATGGATAATGCATCTAGGGATGGACACTACCACACTTGCTTCGGATGCTGGATCTGACCTACATTTTCCAGATGAGTGACCAGGTTAAAGTTTTTGGAGCAGATCCATACCCAAGTAACTATTAGCCCTACCTGGGCCAAACTTGCATGGATGATGCATCTAGGGATGGACACTACCACACTTGGTTCGGATGCTGGATTCAACCTAGATTTTCCACGAGTGAATTTTAGCCATATTTTAACCAAATTAGCATGGATGATGTAGCTAGGGATGGTCACTTCCAGACTTGCTTTGGATTCTGAATCTGACCTACATTTTCCAGATGAGTGACCAGGATAATTTTTTTGGAGGAGCTATATGACATTATGGCCTGTTATGATTAAACTTGCATAGATGGTGCATCTAAGGATGAAAACTTCCAGACTTACTTTGAATGTTGGAACTGACCAAAATTTTCTTAATTAGTAAACAGGATAAACGTTTTTTGAACAGGTCTATTTCCAAGTAACTATAAGTCGTACTTAAACCAAACTTGCATGGACATTGATTTAGGATGTACACTAAATGAAAAAAAAATATGTGAAATTTGCCTTACTTAAAGATAACATTCATCGAGGTGAGCTTCGTAATCTTTGATTACCTATGTTTAAATCTCTACATAATAACTTATATATCAATTTACACTTTCATGTATATTGACCTACTTTCACCAGAGTTATAGCCCTGGAACTTCAAAAAATGCCCAAGTCAGTGCTATTTTTCCCCACAGACATTAAATAATGATAATGAATGCAAGCACTGAAACTGTGTTTATCAGTTGAGAGTGTCTAATGAACACCATTTTCATGCAGCTAAAATATGTCGTGGTATTGACAACTGATTCAAGAAAGTAAAAGCAGCAATAGAAAATTCTGTTATTGTTTCATTTTAATCCATTGTTATTTTCATATCATTGAACATTCAAATATTTAAACTTGAATGTCGGCGGAGGCATTCATGTCATTGTTTCGTGTCACACATATAGTTTTCTTTGGTGACCATGAACTTGCCTAAACAAATTTTAATCAAAGTTGCAACTCGTTAATCAGTATGACTGTTTTCTCAATACAGTCTTGACAGATGTAATCTGTATTTTCATGGGGTGTATATTACTACAGCATTTCCCTTCCATCTGTTAGCTTTTTATGCCCATCAAACATTTTCATGCGAGGCCTAGGACTATCAAATCTGGTCATTCATCTTGGGAGGAAGGTAACAAAGTCCAAAAGTAGGTCATGGTGAGCTACTTTTGAAATTCTATATAGCTACATGGGTAAGTTCAATTCATATCTTGCAGAGTGCAAGACCAGTAATGATAAAACCTTGTCAGTCGATGTATCTAAGGGACTGATGTGTTTCCTGACAGGTATGCTGTACGTGTACTTAAAGGAGGTTTCATATTTTAGCGGCTTTGGCCCAGACAATGATGCACTAATTCATGAATACCGCTAAGAAATCATTTATAAATAACAGTACACGGCACAGACGTGTATTGCTAATTCATGATTACACCAACAACTCCATACCCAGTGATTGCACTAAATTTTGGATATGCCAATTGATGTACATGCAATACAGTATTTTGTGCACCCATGGTGCACTATTTTTTGTGCACCTATGGTGTACTATTTTACAAGTGAACTTGAACCTTGGAAAATGCATGAGCTTTCAGGGTTAAGGTAACATGATAGCTCAGACACACAATGAAATATTTTCTACAAATACTTCTACTTGTGCAGTACACATACATCTTTGTATACAAGGGAAAGGAAAGCCAAGGACAGGCCGGATTTTAACTGCATATGCCCCCACCCCTATTCTTTTGCTCCCAAAGTTCTAGTTTCTGCAATGTTTATACTCCAATTTCCTTTAAATAGTTTCAGTTTCCTTTAAATAGTTTTAGTTGTTGTCACTGCAATTTAGAAAAAATAAAACAAGAAGCAAATCAATAAAATTTTAATTGATCAACTAAAATACTGAATGAGTTGACTACAGAGTAATAGCTTTAACAGTCACTTCCGTAGAAAGTCAACATTCAACTTTTTCCCTCTCAATCTATCGAACATAGGAAAACAAAAAAGCACTTAGTACAAAATATTACCTGTCTAGGCATAAAATATCACCAACTTAATAAATCTCAGTATCTAACCATCAGCTACCTATGCTAGAAATACTCAGATGGAGTTAACAAAATGACATTATCATACTATTATAGATTTTTTGTAAACAAATTGCTATAATCTCAACTTTGCTTACTGGATGTATGTGTAATAAAATTTTTGTATTTCATAAACTATGCATCAGCAGATATAATTGGGAATGACTAGAGGCATTTTCAGTGCACAATCCATCAAGTTCCATCCTAGTGGTCATGACTTCACAGCCTCGGTACTCTTTACAAACAGGAATGAAGATTGTTTCCGCAATGTTCGATAGTAAAACCAATGTTCAACCATGGGATAAAGAACTTTAATTTTACAGTTTAAGCACATTATTACTAAACTAAGCAATTTGTTTGTTTGCTAGATACATAAATCTGTTCTTTTCACCCCACATACATGTACAAGTATGTTGAATACAAAATTACAGACATTTTCTTAAGGAAGCTGATATTATGCTTAAATCATAAATTAAAAGATGGCACAGATTCCAATATGTTACATACTACTAGCACATACATGCATGTGTGCAACAATGCAAACATAGCAAAATGCACCACATGGTATTTACCACTCAGGTATTATAGCAAAAACTGAAATGTTAGTATTCCAGAACGCTAGAGTAAATGAAGTACATGAACTTCATAAAATAGCATGGGAATCAATTTTTGGTAAATATGAAGATTCTGTGCATGTAATTTTAGTTCTTACATCTTCAGTTACAGAAGCAAATCACTCAATTTTCAATAATTCAACAAGAGCAAAAAAGCAGTAGCTCAATTTAAAGATATTTAGGACAAATTCAGAGAGAGGGAAAAGGCATTACTGGTATTTACATGGTATACAAATACACAACCAAAATTCATATAACAAAAAGTTTGACTAGTAAAAATTGGATTAAGTATATATACAAAACATTTGTCATTTTATATCAATATCCTTTCTAGCACTGTTAATCTTACGAGGTGTCCCAAAATTTCATATTCCTTTCCATGTCAGATCAATCTAGTTAAAAATAAAGTTCAACCTCTATCGTTAACAGCAATTATTTTATGTTTAATAACTTCATTGACTGGTATATTCAAAATATGTGTAGTAAAAATTTAAACAGAGGAAGGCATGAACTTGGCAGTATTTAACTATCAATGGAAATTAGGAAATTACTATAGAAAAGGGGCATAACTCTGAAAATTCATCCAATTTTATGCCATTTCATAGATCATTAATTCATACAAAAAATATCAATCTGAATGAATGTTTTAAAATAAATCTTGTATTTGTTTCGTCATTTTAGGAAACGTCAACTTTATATATAATGGTGTGTGAATACAGTTTAAAAAACTTCTTTTTATAATATAGTATCTTGATACTGAATGCTTATGAGCAATAAATACAGAGATTTCAAAGACGAAATTTAACTTGTATTCTCCTAACTTCAACAAAGTAACTGTTTTACGATGAGGGAAGGAAATGCTACACTCTGAAATTATCAGTAATAGGGCTGTCACAGTTCCGAAAAATAACCAAAAACTGGGTTCAAATTGTTCAGTTTAGTTTCAGTTCCATTTTTAAACAGGTTTTTCATAGGAAAAATCCGTTTGCTGAAATGGTGAAAATGGCAGACAGGCAGCTGCCAATACGGTACCTCAATTGGAAATTTTGGAACCCTGACAGCCCTAATCATAACTAATGACTATTAGTTAAGTCCAAAATATGTATTGCAGA